CTTCTGCTTGTAGAGGTCCCTGATGGAGAAATCGTACACCGTGCTGGATCTATTGGACGGCTGGTTACAGACCACGGACTGACCACTCACGGAAGACAGCAAACCGAACAAGGCCGCCAAAATGGCGACCCCGCCAGAACTTTGTCCTGGCATGCTGACGCTCCTAGTACAAGTGACGATGACTGGCGTGCCCTCCGGATTATATAGAGGTGATGACCTAACTAAGGCAGGACCTTGAGAACATGGCAGATGTTTATCGCTGTAGTTCAATGTCCTTGTAACCTTGGCATAGATTCTTCGGTCGTTATTTGTCTATGGATCATTTCTCTCTAACCAATTATATCTCTCTAACCAATTGCATCTCTCTAACCAATTATATCTCTCTAACCAATTGTATCTCTCTAACCAATTATATCTCTCTAACCAATTATATCTCTCTCTAACCAATTATATCTCTCTAACCAATTGTATCTGTCTAACCAATTGTATCTCTCTAACCAATTGTATCTCTCTAACCAATTGTATCTCTCTAACCAATTATATCTCTCTAACCAATTATATCTCTCTAACCAATTTTCCAATTTATGATATATTAATAAATATTCTTATGAATTAAGATTATTATTAATTTACCAATCACGATGTTCAAAATTATTTTCCAGAGTCTTACAGAAACCCCTCTTTAAAAAAAATATATAACTGTTCCATTATCTACAGTAGGAATGCATCACTCACGGAAGACAGCAAACCGAACAAGGCCGCCAAAATGGCGACCCCGCCAGAACTTTGTCCTGGCATGCTGACGCTCCTAGGACAAGTGACGATGACTGTCGTGCCCTCCAGATTATATAGAGGTGATGACCTAACTAAGGCAGGACCTTGAGAACGCATATAAGCGAGGTTTTAAGAACATTTCAGAGTCTTACAGAAATCCAGTATTTGAAAATAATAAATATAACTGGTTTATTATTTACAATAGGAATGCACCTCAGAGCACGTTTTTATCATCATCATATATATTTAAACAATATGCATAAGGGGTTTCCCAGAACAACCCTTCCTTTTTGGACGCTGAGGTGCTGTCTTCCAATCAAAACGACACCCTTTTTCATTTTCTTTAAAGCTTTTTCCGCCATTGGCGACTGAAAATTAATCTATTTGTATTGTACTGCAAGTATCTTATTTAAATTCTTACTTCCACCCATCCTCGAAACTCCATGGGTTATGCTCACTTTTGCTCTCTGCCCCCCTGGAATATGTTTACCAATGAGTTTCACCAAACCCGAAAATAGTCATCCGAACTTCTCTCCTGTTACAGAAGATTCTTTTTTTAATTTTCTTTCAATGGCAAACGTATGGCTTTGGCGACAGTGAACAAAATTACGCAAAATTAATATCTGTGGACTATAATTAACAACAAACACAAATATGTCAGTGAAACAGTTTTGTTTTTTAAATGTGTCATTCATGTAATAACATCGCCCTCCACGCTATGTTAGGTAGGTCACATCCCTTACTTTTGTTAATAATATACTGTATAGCTATAAATATAAACTAAACAACGCATGTTATAATCAAACAATTTAATTTAATAAAAAATCAAGAAACAAAACGAAATCGTCAAATATTGAGACAGTAAAAGTCAATCACATGACAGATTTCTCAAAGGTCATAGAACTGATAACATGGGTTTCAGAGATTATTCAACATAGATTTTTTTGATTTTTTTTTACACAGATTTCTAAGATTTATTTAACATGGATTTCAAAGATATTTAACACATATTTCAGAAATTATTTAACACAGATTTCATAGATTGATAATCATAGATTTAGGTACATATTTCAAAAAATTGTTAAAAGACTTTTAATAAATATGTTAACACACTCATAAATAACTTTGTTACAAAGACTTTACAAATATGAGAAATTTCCGCTAATGAATATAAAAAGCAAGGTTTTTTTTACCACATTTTCGTGCCGCACGTTCACCATACTGTTTTGTTTGGTGTAACATACATTCCAAGTGGTGTTTCGAGTAATATGTAATGGGCTGCAATTTATAATATTTACATTGGCACTGCATAGTGCCTAGATAACTCTACTGGTCCCATTGTAACATATTTTCCAATGAACTACAACGGGGATTAGGTCAGTGTAGTGATACACTGACCTAATTACCACCAAGTGGCGATGTTCCGCTGTGTTGTGTCTTAAAATGTTATGACCACAACATATATTAAAATGGTCACATGTTAGTATACAAATTGGTAATTGACATATATGCATTTTTTTTATTTATTTTTTTATTAAATTGATGTGTTTACTGTGGAACTTTCTTGTTTATTGTTTTTGTCGGCCTGGTTGCCCTTGACAACGACTGTGGAATGCGAAACTACCCGGCTGTTCCGAACAATTTACCGCTGACCCAGTCGGTGTGTATAAGAGTTTTAAAACAGCAATTAACAATACTCGCAACATTGCACAACTAATATTGTTGGTTTCGAATATAAATATAAGGATTGGTTGTCATATTTTT